TTTTTTAAAGATTTTATTTATTTATTTGAGAGAGAGAGCACATGAGAGGGGGGAGGGTCAGAGGGAGAAGCAGACTCCCTGCCGAGCAGGGAGCCTGATGCGGGACTCGATCCAGGGACTCCAGGATCATGACCTGAGCCGAAGGCAGACGCTTAACGACTGAGCCACCCAGGCACCCCTGGATGGGGTGAATTTTGAAATTTTCATTCTGTATGGTCCCTGGAACAAGTGCTGTGTGTATAACAACAAACGCAATTTCTAGGAGTGTCTCATACCTACCCTTTTTACTGTTCTTGCTATATAGAGATATATTTTGTCTTTACAAAACACCTTTGGTTAGGAGACTGATGAGCCGTGACATACTATGTATCTGTATCACTAGGAAAAAACTGCCCTAAGTCTGTTCTTCCCTACACAATTTCTAGACAAAAATGCATTACTTAAGAAAGGATTAGGTTTAAAAAAAAAAAAGGAAATGACAAGGAACAAAAGCAGACCAATAGAAGAGCTTAATATGTAAGACAAGGCCATTCATGTAGGAAAGGTTTTGTAGGTCTTACCAGTTACTGTACTCATAGTCAAATGCTATGGTGACCTCAGCATCTTTGGTGATGGCAGACACCGCATAGATACACAGGTGAATCATCCCATCTGCAATCATGTGTCGCACCTGTGTGAACATGGCTTATGGTTGATGATATACCATAAAGACCCAGGAACTCTCCATAAGATAGAAAAAACCTTTTGCCAAAATAATTTCTTTCCACTTAAGTTATGATAGTCTTTTACGTAACTCCATCATTTCACAAGAAACTGTTAACATAGTAACTGTCTGAAAATTTATGATACTTCTTGAAATAAATGGAGAAACCTTGAGATGTTAGAAATTAGGGTAAGATCTCTGCTCTACATCTTTTTTTTTAAGATTTTATTTATTTATTTGACAGAGAGAGGCACAGTGAGAGAGGGAACACAAGCAGGGGGAGTGGGAGAGGGAGAAACAGGCTTCCCGCCGAGCAGAGAGCCCGATGCGGGGCTTGATCCCAGGACTCTGGGATCATGACCTGAGCCGAAGGCAGACGCTTAACGACTGAGCCACCCAGGTGCCCCTCTGCTCTACATCTTAAAGCTGTTTTCAGTTGCATCAGAGAATTAAAATTCCTTAGTCTGTCAAGAGAAGCTCTGTGGATTTTCTTGCTATATTTGATGTAGCTGCACTGATTATGCACTGAGTAATGAATTCTAGAAATGTCTAGAATCTCTCTTACAATACTATTACCTAAAACCTAAAAAAGTGCAACCACACAGCTTAGTTTGGGCTTAATGACATGTTCTAGCATATGGTAATTTCTTTAATATGACCTCAATGACTTCTTATCCAGTCTAGCTCTTTCTCTTTAGCAAATGCTTAATTTGCTTTTTCCCATTTCTTCCTTCTCTAAGGAAACTCATTCCTTGTCCCCATCCAGTCAGAATAAAAGCATCATTGCGTTTTTTTGGGTCTCTTATGATAAAAGATTGTAATTATTATCTACAGACCTTAAATTAATCTGGGTGAAGTTTTCAGACTGCCTCTTCAGTAGACTTGTCCTTTGGCGGTTCCATTCAAACAGAAGTTGCTACAGAAATCTTACCTCTGCATTTGGTGTACATGATCTTCTGATGAACCGAGCATCATTACCGAAAGTACGTGCATCCACACACATCTCTACACCATTGAATTTTGAGTAGAAGAGCACAAAGGGGTATGGTCTAAGGGATATAATTGAAATTCCTGTAATTTTCAACACAAATAAAAGGGCCACCCCATGACTTCACCACAAATATGAAGCATATGCTGACAGAAGAAGCAGCAGTCCTTTGCAATGCCTAAACTTGAAAAACATCACATGCTTGTCTGCTTTTGATTAAAGAACAAGCACAAAGCAAGGAATGCCTGGCTTGGAAAGGAGTCATTACCACTTTATACATTAAACAATTTGTAGATTTATTTGCACTTTTCTACAAATAGCAGACAGGTGTGAGCTTATCTGAGCTCTAATCTTTTCCCCAAGAGCATCCTATCAACCAGGATGTTTTTTATACAGCCATACCGCTCTGCCAGGCCCACTTAAGCCCTCACTGCTCAGTGAATGATGTTCTTACTTTTTGAAGAAATGCCCATTGACCTCAAATTGCTGTCGTAACATGACTTTCCCTCGATACTCTATTATAAGAGTGTCCAGAGCCAAGTCTCTCGCAGCCCTCAGGATCTTCCGGTGCTTTTGAACACGAGTGACTCTTCCCAACTGTAGCTGCATAAAACCAGAGGATTAACATTAGACAACAGCCACAGCAGCATGGCAGACACTTAAAAGTATTTCCTCATTGAGGAAAAGACACCAATATTTTTAGGTTTTATTTGTATGCTATTTAGCTCAAAAATCAGAATTTCTTTTTTCAATAATCAGAATTTTTGAATGATCAGAGCTTCTAGGAGACAAGCTCCACTTAATGAACCGGTCACCTGGTCCCTCACAAAAGATAAAATATCATAGAAAAAGACATGATTAAGATTTTAGTGGCTCAAAAAAAAAAAGATTTTAGTGGCTCTATGTCTAATGCAAGAATGATAAAGAACAAGCTTAGCTTTCTATTAATCTTGAAAATTCCTACTCAGGCTGTATAAAATTTCCTATCCTAATTTATCTATTCTTAATTAATACTTTAAAAATATGTATCCAGACACTTTCCAGTCACTACCACTTGCTTTTGGTTAAAGATGCTCAGCAGCTGGCTAATTTGTTATTCTAAGAAGCTCATACATTTAAAAGAAATGATAATCCCATTATATGCCCTCTTCCTGGGTTCAGATAAGTCTCAACTACTTATAGGGAGTCTTTTACCCTTTGATCCTTACCTGCATTTGGGAACCAATAACTGTATTATTACAGGCCAATTCAGTCTTATTAATAGTGTCTAAAATAGCAGGTTTGCCCACAAATTCCTTGCTAGAATGTAGATGTTGTTCAAGGGCGTTCTGTACATCTGCACTGTACTGATTAGTGAAAGCTTCTTCATACTGATCAGTCCATAGTCTTATCCGATTTTCCCATCCCTCAGTTGTATTCTCATCTAAATTCTGTGCTTCAGAAGGAGAATTCTGTAGAGAACAAAGGTCAGGTAGGTTAGGAGAATCCATGAATAAAAATGGGAGGGAAAACAGGCTGAATTTCCAGAGGAAATTTATTTTCACTTGGCAGCTGGTGTGGCATAGAAGAGTAATGGCCTGGGAGTCAGGGGATCTGACTTCTAATCATGGTTTCATTACCAATGAGATGTGAGGCCTTGAACAACTTCTTATACAAGCTTAGTTTCCTCATTAATAAAGTGAGAAATTAATCTGGATCATAGTCTTATCCCATCACTGTGATTTTATGACCATTTTTAAATCACAGAAATAAATTTTATTCTTATCAGAAGAATGACATCAAGTTCATAAGAAAATTTTGATAAAAACAAACAAGAGAGATACCTCAAAAGATTACAGTTTAAATTTCAATACTTATTGAGTATCTGTGCACCAGCCTAAGATGATATTATTTCACTACTCTCCAAGAGAATTTTTTTGTGTGACTTGTTATTTTCATTATACAATTAATACATGTTCATTCTAAAAATACATGCGACCTAAATAAATAACCTGTAATCTCGTTTCCCAGAGACAAAGTCATCATTTTGGAGTGTATCTTTCTAGCACTCTATTTCTGACAGTTTAACAGCTGCACTCTGAAGAGGTGAGGTGGGGGCAGGGGAGTGCATAGACGGAGTGTAGAAAATGCTGGGAGGTACTTTGCTATACTTCTTTAGGAAAACCACTGCCCTATATGGTGACAATATTGAGAAAAGATTATTATATCTCAACAATGTTATCCTAAACAGTTTTTATGTTTGAGAATACAGAGACACAGTTTAAGTCTGACACGTGTTCTCCTCCATGGTGTTAAAAGACTTAAAGTGTCATCAGAAAACAAAACCAACACCGACAGTGAGGATGTCATACCAGTGATGACTAGAAGGAAAAGATACCATAGTACCAAAGCTACTTGCAAATCCATGTCCATACTCAAGTTGCAAATACAGGCATAAGAAAATTAAATATACTTTCCATGAATGACAAAGAAAACATTTATGTCTTATTTTAACAACTGCTTTCTTTCACTTTTGTGTCACTGCGATTGACTGTTGTCGACCATCCTTTCCCCAAGGAACAGGGAAATGAAAGGAAAAAATTAATGCCTTTGTTTTCTACCCTTCTCACCGGAGTCCAAAAGAATGAACAATAAACAAAAGGATCTAAGAAACATCTGGGGCCAACACACTGAGAACACAGTATCACCTGCTTGAGGTTATCAGGAGCAGCTAAGCAAAAGAAAAGTTCAAAACCTGAGATTGCAGGGGTGCTTATCAGACTGGGGATTAGGGGTGCCCAAACAGTATTCCCAGGTTTAAGCATTCAGTAGTAATCACTAAACCAATGACTTACTACACTTAATGTATACTGGAAGCCACTGTCACATTACTAGCTGTTGTTCACTAATACAACTCTGACTAACTACTCTGCTATTCCATTCTTCTGGGTACTCGAGACCTTAACTCAGTGCATTTTAGAGCATGGTTCTCAAGCAGAGGTGATTTTTGTCCCCAGGAGACATTTGGTAATATCTGGTAACAAAATAACATTTGATTACCACACCTGGGTGTTATGTGTTATTGGCACCTAGTGGCTAAGAGTAGTCTCCAGTAGCCAAGCTTTTGACTTTGGGATTAGAAATCTAAATGATAAATACTTCCCATTGTTATGGCTCTCAACCACATCTTTGGTGATGCTCTTACTAATAATTAATTCTGAGTACAAATTTGTAACCCAACTCAGATTCTGATATAAGAATCAAAATAAACTGACAGTACTTTTTTATTATTTAAATTTTAAGATGCTTATGGAACTGTCAACATCAACAATACAAGCAATATTTACACGTAGAGAGGTTTATAAATAGTTTTCAGGGGCAGCCAGTCAATAGCTTTCAAAAGGTTTCGAACATTTGGAGGCAAGTTACAACAGTTAGCTGATACAAGAGAAAAGGGCTTAATAGCTGGGATCAGGGCTATGTCTGCCCCATAAGTCTATTTAAGGTCCCCTCTAAGCAAATGAGACAAAAATAGAGGGAGCAGCTAAGGCAAATGTAACCTCTTACAGGAGAGAGATTTAGCAAAAGAATAACAATTAGGCTGTATTCCAAGACATCCCAGGACTGTGATGCTCTTGGGCTCTGAGTCCTCTCTCATCGCTTTTACAGATATGTACAAGTGTGTTTATAGGTATATGCTAGGTGAGACCTTCAAATTTTAGATGAAGTGTCACCTATGATCTTTGGTAACATCAGTTATATTGGTGTTCCATATATACTTACGTATATTAACCTTAATAAAGCTTTTCCTTACTATAAGATTTTAATGTTTATGCCATCTAACTGTCAACAGCAAAGATCCTGCTTCTTATCATTTACACATTTAGGGATAGGAATTCTTATAGAATTAAATTAGACCTTAATTCTAAGTAAATGTTTTGAAGCCATAAGTAATGAATTGGGAGCTATGCTGTCCTCCTACATATACAAAGGTAAAGGAAGATACCAGACAGTATAATCAAATCTCCTTTGGGCAAACTGTTCTTTATCACCCAGTACCTAAAAGTCCTTTTAAACCATTGCATGTAATTTCTCAATTCTCCACCACTATCCAGTATCACTTTATAAGCTCTTATCATGTGATAACTGAAGAAAAGAAAAACACTAGCATCATTTGAATTTTCTATACCAAACAGATATTGCAGGAAAAAAACAGTTCAAAACTAAGTAATTCCAGTAAGAGTAATTCCTATCGATAATACTACCTTCCTAACTGATGAAATTTATCCTTCCAACTGGTGATTAAAGCCCACATGGTGCTAGGGTGGGTGCACAAGAGATCCTGTATCACTAGAAAAACCTCAGTCCTGAGGTTGAGGCCAATTACAAGGACAAAACATATCAGCCCCATTTTGTTTGGTAAATGTCACTTACCCCCCTTCATTCCCCCCGCCCCCCCGAAAAGCAGCTAATGAAAAACCAGTAAATGAAGGCTGATTACAGAAAGGGAAAATATTTCAGAAAATGGCCAAGAAAACCTACTTTGGAGAAAGGCTCTATGAAAACGGAATGGCAACAATTACAAACTAACAAAAAGCAGAGTCCAAGATTCCCAGACCATCAATGTCAGGAAAGAAGCTGACCAAAATGCAAGATCACAGTGAAGTAAAACACAGCATCAGGGAAGAATACCCCTTACCTTCATCCGCAAGGACTTCCGGGATCCCTCTCGAAATGCCTATCCCAAAGAGGAAAACAAGTAGAACAAAACAAAACTTGGTACCAAGAATGACAGTTATACCTATCTGAGACTAAAACTAAGGCAAGAACTAGTGTTTTAGTCTGTCCCCTTTTCCCTAGGTAACAAATACAATGGAATCCCCCACGCTATTATCCAAGAATAGGGGTAGCTCAAGGCCAGTGAACTTTGAGGCTAATTCTAACACTTTCCATGGTGAATCTAGGTAATTAACAGGGAAGAGCATGCATCACTTAAATCCTATATGCACCCCTGGCACTAGAAGAAAAAGTAAATAAAAACATTTCATAAGGTTGCAGATTTACCAGTTTTGAAATTAAGAAGAAAACAAAGACCAATCCCCTTAACAAGGGGTAGACAAGTCACCTAGGAGCAACAAAGTTGCCATGATGGGGAAGAAAGAACACAAAACAGAAGAGGTTTCTCCTGGAGACAAATTTTTAGTTGAGAATACAGGAAAGTGACCACAATACTGAGGAAGCCTAGATCATTCAAGAGATGTTTCCTAACTTTTTTGAAACAAGGAAAAAACAATCAACCCAATGACATGAGGTGGGCATGTACCAGGACAAGAATTTCAGACTATGCCTTGGGATTGAGGAGGTGGGGAGATAATGAAGGACAGTGGAAGCCTAGACTGGAGGCTGCAGCACATACGGGCTTGGCCAGGTGGGGCTGGGATTTCATACCTGGGATGGGGTTTGGAGTAGAAGAAACTTTGTGCCAGTTGTGATGGTATGGAGTGGCAGAAGAGAGGTTGATCTACATGTTCACAACATAGATTAGCCGATTTTTGCAAGCAGAGCAAAAGTGGCCCTTCAAACATCTGGATCAAACTTCTTAAAAGAATTTTGGTGCCTTCTTGTTCCAAAATTTGGGCTATTTCAGACATATTTCTATTTAAGATACTTTTACCCTCCGTACCTTGATTTTCTTCGTCTTTGCTGCTGCACGACCCTTTTCTGGACTCTTCTTCCGCTTCTTGGGTTTGGTTCTTCTAACAGTTAAGGTGATGCTTGTAGGTGTGTGCTGTGTTGCTGTGTACAACACAGTGGAAGGAGAAAGCTCCTCATCCCAGCTTTCTGTTGCACTGCTATCCCCACCTGAAAAAAAGTTATTTCATAGTTCACACACTGTACAAACAGTGTCAAAAGTTCATTAAAAAAATGCTTATACGACTGCCTTCGGCTCAGGTCATGATCCTGGAGTCCCCGGATCGAGTCCCGCATCGGGCTCCCTGCTCGGCAGGGAGTCTGCTTCGTCCTCTGACCCTATCCCCTCTCATGTGTTCTCTCTCTCAAATAAATAAATAAATAATCTTAAAAAAAAAATGCTTATATATCTTTATTCCTTTTCCATATTTGGGAAGTCATAACTTCCATTAACTCTGTCATCTGTAGAACATAAATACCCACCTTTCTTATGAAAACAAGGTTCTTTCTCTATCACTGGCATTAAGCAGAGAAACTCTGTTCTACATCGTATATATTTTCCCCCTTGTACTGAGTCCCCAAGCTCCATCACCTCAATGTGTTAACATAGAAAAAGGATCTGTTTTATTTGGTATGTGTGCTCATAAGGAATATTTTGATTGCTCTGGGGCTAAAATGTTGTTTCTGGAGACATTAATTCAGAAGAGACTTACACAGTGGTTGTGAGAAAACTGTTTTCTCTTTCCATGAAAAGCTAGGGACCATGGGGACTTACAGAAATTCTTGAGATGATTATTTAAATCACAAAATATTTATCTGTCAAAACATGGGCCCAACCCATTTTTGGCTCACCTGATATGTTGTCCTGCTTCCGCCGATGAAGTCTAATAACCTTCCCCCTGCTCATTCCCCTAAAGAGGGAAAATAAACTTAAAGTAGTCCTTCCAACAGCATGCAGCACATCGTCGCACACATGGGAGAAGTGTCTCTGCATATACTACCCCCTTCCTCCCACCTACCAAATGTTTCCAGGACATTAAATTTCATATCAAATTCAATAGCTTTAACATCAATCTCTCATTCCTTGTTGTCAGCAATTCTCACCTAGTGCAGAGAATTCGAGCCAAGGAGCACTAAGGAATCATCTACATTAACAAACACAAGAAAGAATACTTTGAGCTTTTCCCTACTAATAAGAAACCCTAATCCCAGCAACCCAGGCTTGAATTGAGATGGAGCATGATCTTACCTGCACTTGTCACAGTTGAGAAGGAAGCCATCCTGAGAAAGACCACAAGGACACCAGGTAGGAACAGTCTCTCCTTCAGAGTTCGGGCTGTCTCCACAGCGTTCCTCTACGGGCGACGGCAGGCCATTCAGGTCAGAACGAGGGATGATCGTCTGGACAGGGGGAGAAGCAGGAGGTGTCGGAGGAGGAGGGGCTCCGTAATTATGATCCTGAAAATAAGATTTTTTAAATCAACAGTGTCCAAACACTGGCCCCTCTCTCCCCTAAAGTATGGTACATATGGAAAGAAAGAAGAAAGTAGTACCCTTTGTTTTTTGGCTTCAACCAGGAAAGTGATAAAACAAAATGCCAAGGTCAACTGGGACATAAAAACAAGAACAATGATGCAGGGCTAGACGTCCGCTGGAGGCAGGGAAGTGCAAAAGGGGCAACTTCGTCATGCTGCATATAAACATTTCAAGAAAGTCACAATGTATAAGAATGGATTACACTCCAGGAAGATCACTGCTCTGGAGAGAAACAAATGCATACTCACAGCATAAGGCAGTCCTCGACACCCATGCCTCTGAGTGGTCCCATAATTATGAGTGGAATACACGCTCTTCTCATTAACTGCTGGACTAGCCTCCACAGATTCAGGGCTGCACAAAGGCGAAAAGCAACGCATGATAGCATAACACCTAATCTTCCCTTAAACTAAGACTTTAACTTCCCATGCTAACCCCTCCTCTTTTCCACAACCACCAGCCACTAGAATAAGAGAAGGAACTCAGTGAAACAATCTGATTAACATAACTAAGCCTATAAATAACAGGAGTGTCATTAAATGTGGACTTGTGTGTAACATGAAGCCAGTACAGGCAGATGTCTCAAGGCAGGCACCTGGAATACAAGGTGTCCCTAATGACAAACACAAACGTACCAGCTGAGCAGGGAGTTTCCCCTAGAGAAGCCACTCTGGGCTGGTTTAGACTCAGAACTATTCTTCTTAATTGGATCTCTTAATACTTCCATGAAACCTCACATGACATTTGCAGTGAGTGAGATGATGAAAGTGCCTTCTGCACTGCCCCAGGGACCAGGCCCTCTTCCATTCACTACCAAGACAGGATACCCTGAAGAAAGTACAGGTAAAAACAACGGCATCTTATATTTATCATACCTCTCATCTTGATGAACCCCCAAACACCTTTCAAATATTAGAGTAATAATTTCTCATCTACCAATGACATGCAAGCATATCAAGGACACAATTACTTAACAGCTGCATGGTAATACCACAGAACTTCAAAATAATCAAAACTGTACTCAGAGGTTACTGTTTACTGACAAATAATAAGAGGAGTTGTGGCTACCATTCTGAATCGCCCATTATTTTTAGGTGCTTTTATATACATTAATTCATTTATTCTGCAACTAGTAAACATGGTAAATAGCACCCCATTTTTACAGAAGAAGTAGTTGCGGTGGTGAGATTACGTGACGTCACCAAGGTCACACGCTGACAGAGCCAGAATTTGAAACAATGTCTAACTCCAAATCCTGTGGTCTTTCCACTGTGCCTAACTGGTTTGGAAAACCAGGATAACATTCTATCTTTAAAGAAAATGATATGAAAATTTAAGTAACCAGGCTTATTGAGAAGCCTAGTTTAATATCTTTTCATACCCTCACTGAGTGGAAAGCAAACTGTTCAAGTATAATTTGTTAATATAAAAACATTATAAATGTGTTCAAATTTAGAAACTGTAAGCCTTTACTTGATAATAAAAAGGCATAGGTAACAAAGGACAAAATACAAGTTTTGGGGAAAAAAGAACTTTTAACTCTGATTGTTACCTGGTTAAGTTTTAGGGAATTTTGAAAGGTAATTAAGGAATGCAATCGTATGACTTTGCTGAACTCAATAATGGATTATCTGTCATTTAAATTAACTAGAACAGAGATTCACAAATTAGAAACTCCAAGGACACATATAACTCAGCCTTGGAGATCAAAGGGTCTTTTAGGGAATCAAATAATGCATAGTTTGCTTTAATGAACATACGTTTTTCCTGCTTGCAAGTATACAATACACAGTACTTGGCAGGAATAAAGTGTGCAGTTCAATGTGGTGCAATGTCAGCTGAGAAGTGAGGGATAAAAGAAAATTCTGAGATATGTCCAACTCACCCAGTTATATGCTCCAAAACTGTGAGAAGGGATCTTATTAATAACAGCAAAGGTAATTTCTAGGTGAAGAAGAACTTTAGACATAGGAAAGTATTCTGTTAGTGAAGTGCATGCATTTTATTCTTTAAGAGTGTCTGCAAGATGGGAACTGGGGTGGGGGTACATCAAGAATGCAGGTCAGTATTCTTGAGAAAAGATGATCTGACATGGCTCACTGAGAGGCAATCAGCTCTGAGTATTAGGAAACAGGTGGGGTTTCCTAAATGAAACTGAAGGCAAACAAGCATTAATAAAATGAAGGCAGAATTTAGTTTCTATGATGGACAGTTAAGAGAAAGTAATAACTTTCAACATTGTTAATTCACTAGATAAACAAGTATTCCAAAAAAGCTGTACGTATTTTATATAAGAGATTTTGTACCATTGAACACATGGGGTGAAACATGGCAGCTGTTTATTAGAAATGGAATTTTTCTGGACGGGAAAAAGGAAAGTGGCATGAAATAAAAGATGGCCATGGAGATGGAGCTATGTTTGTTGTATCTTACCCATCTCCAACTGGGTAAATATGAACATATGCACTTCATGTGCAAGTCTAGGGAATAAAAATAAAATGTATTTTGTGGAGGTTAAAAGGCCATCCTACTGGACAATGCTTTCTAGTAAAGCACAGCATTTAATATATTGCTATGCATGCCAAATATTAAAATTTAAGCTCATATCTTTTGATGAGGAAACTCTGCAATTTCCATGCTGGCTATTAATTAAATAGTTACATGTTGATAGATAACTATACAATTTCCTAGGTTATTTCTTGACATATATATCAGCTCTTATCTATATTTCAAAATATGGATTAAAAATCTGAAGTGTTAGGATTGTACTTCCTTATTAGCCAACCATTTTACGCAAACGTAATTATAGCCTATGTTTGAACTAGTATGAGAGTTGGGCACATACACAGAAGCCATGCTCACAACAGATATTGCCATCAATTGTGTTTTAAATACAACACGTAACCTGCTGCTGTAATGCTAACCTCTTGGAAAATGAAATTCATTTACAGCAGAACTGTAAATTCAGAAAAATCCTTGCTTTTATTGTTTTATCTAGAGGTTCTCCTACAAATACATAAAAAATGCATAATGCCTACTGTTGTTATCAGATTTAAAATCCCATGAGATAAGGTCTAGGCCTTTTACTCAAGTTAGGTATGTTGCCCTTCACACCAAGTTTAATTTTAGAGTGCCCAGAACAGTAGAATATGCGTGACAGTGAAATATGCACGGTGAAACAACAAATATCATCTAAAATGTAACAGAATGGTACATAAGCTAATTGCCAACATTCTCTTGCTTTGTAGAAATACTAAACGAATAACTGTATAACAGTATCAGAAATCTGTCAAGAAATTACAGATGAAATGTTTCAGGAAATAGAAACATCATAGTCAAATTTTTAGGCCAAAAGTCTGCAAATACTTCTGGACTCCCTAGCAGCATTTATGGGTGGTGATCTCTGCACTCTGGGAAAAACACGTTTTTAAGAATAATTGCTTTAGGTTTTTTTCTCTACTAGTCCCAAAGTCATTGATTTAATCTCTCTGTTGAAATTTCTCACAAATGTTAATGCTCTCTACCTGTGTAGTTTGTTAGTCAATCCATGTAAGAGGTAGTGGTTGACTTTATAAAATTCTGTTAACACCATACAATTATAGTTCCTAATGCAGGAAGATTTTTTAAGTACTTGGGAAATAGTTATAAACTTGGAAGTCTCAGCTACCGGCATAACTGAATCTCTCAGGCATGCAAAAACAAACAAACAAACAAACAAAACAAAACAGGAAAAAAAAGCCCTGGAAGGAACACAATTCCACCCTTCCCATCCCCCACCCTCCATCTTCCTTTTTATATGGGAATAAGGCCAAAAACTTTCAGTTCTCAACTACCCCAAAATATAGTATATACTGCTTCTTGGGGTAGCTTCATTTTAAGTCTTCCTCTTTAAGGAAGACAATAGACAGTTAAGTAATCCTAGGTGGCTTTGTGAAGAAAACATACATGCTCTTTACTACATTCTCAGTTTTAAGGAAGAAAACCACTATTAATCAGGGATGCAGTTGAACCCAGAGCTCTGGTACAGTTGCTTTGCTTTGCTGAAGGGGGAAGAATCCCCAGGGACTATGAAAATGGCAAGAGAAACAGGGGAATTAGAGCAACACCCACCTCACTCAAGAAGTGGCTGTGGGATCAAGAGTCTGAACTGGACCTGAACATATTCAAAACACCAGGATTTTTCCAGCCCAGACCCTAATCCCTGGTACTGCCTGGAATAGACTTGGCTTCTGGGGGTGTGCTGCCCCCTAGGCCCCTTGGGTCTCTTTCGCTGGACTTTCACATCCTGGTGTAGTGCCACTTCGTCTTGAAAGGTAGGGGGCTTCCACTTCCTTTCTGTAAGCAAGGAAGATTGGGTACAAGGGAGGTAAAAGGACAAGAGGGGGAATCTGTGAGCAGGGGGAATCTTGGACAACTTAAAAGAGAAGGGATACAAAAGGCTAAAATTTTTTAAACTGTGAATAATATATAAAGTTTTATAATGAAGGCCTACCTTCATTGCCATTTGGTATTTAAATTCTTCAAGAATTGAGTCTATTTTAGGGATTGGGCTTTTCGACAAACTCTGAATTCCTAAAGCTGCTCTTAGCTGAAAAAAAAGTTTGGTACCACTGATTTTGAAGGTCCTCTTTCTAGGCAATGAATATTATATAAAATCAGATGACACTGCTTTCAATGTTTTCTACCCCAAATATGAGAAGTTCTAAGTAACCTGCCCAAATAAAGTTTTAGCCCCTTTACTCTAGAACAGTGAGAAGTACATAGGAAGAGGCCTTCAAGGAAAATCAGTTGGAGAGAACTCCTCCTTATCTCCATCCTCAGAATAATCATTAACTCTACAGAAGCACGTAGTGACACCTACTTTATTTCAATGCTCCCCACCCATCAAAACAAATGAAAATGTCATCACTACTGTGCAAATTTAATTCAATTATATTATTTACTAAGAACCCCCCCCCCAATTCTTTTCCTTCCCTTTCTAACTCTTTTTTTTCCTCCAGCTTCTATGGGCAAAAAGGGAAAGGTCTAATGTCATTTACAGTGGGCTAGGTTTGGATTTAGAAAATACTGCATACTTATTATTAGATGCCCATAAGAAAGTTATTTACACACAAACTGGTAACGCATCTACTACCCAGAAAGTAGCACTTACTCTGATCCAGCAGCCATATCTGAGTAGGATGTATCTGGTGTGGTGACTCCCAGAGGGATTGCAATGCTCATGACGTCCAATACAGCACAGAGTGGAAATCACGGGGTCCTATTAATGGAGACTGGCCACTCTGAGAGTGGGGGTGAGCTGCACAGCCTTAACCAACATGTTATGGACATGAGGATTCCTGCCACAGAAAAGGAAAATATCTAATAACCAGAAAGTTCTTTACATTTACTCTAAATGCTACTGAATATTTTCCCATTTTTATTTATTTGTAAAAAAAGATTTATATATTAGAGGGAGAAAGTGCATGAGCACAAGCGGGGAAGGGGCAGAGGGGGGGAGAGAATCCTAAGCAGACTCCCCGCTGAGCACAGAGCCCAACATGGGGCTTGATCTTATGACCCCGAGATCACAACCTGAGCCAAAACCAAGAGTGAGATGCTCCATCAAGTAAGCCACCCAGGCGCCCCTATTTTTCCATTTTTTTTTTTAAAGATTTTATTTATTTGACAGAGAGACACACAGTGAGAAAGGGAACACAAGCAGGGGGAAGGGGGGAGGGAGAAGCAGGCTTCCCACAGAGCAGGGAGCCCGATGTGGGGCTCGATCCCAGGACCCTGGGATCATGACCTGAGCCGAAGGTAGACGCTTAACAACTGAGCCACCCAGGCGCCCCCCTATTTTTCCATTTTGAAAGTAAGTCTTTTAAGGGATAAATATAAAACAAGTACAGGAAAGGATTACACATTGTCCTATTTTATTGTGTACTGCATTAATGTTCTACAAAGTGAGGTAGCAAAAGTTATGCTTACTTTTCATTTCTATTTCAGTTTTTTTCTTTTTAGCTAAAGGGGGAAGTATAGTCTGCCTAGCTTGCTAGCAAGTACATTTCTACCATTCTACAAATGCTCATCAAACAAAATTTTCTGGCAGCCCAGAACTCACATAGTAAGCTTTAATGTATAGGATGGCAAATAGAAATATCAAAGTTTAACTAAATTCTTTAACAATTAAAGATCTTCATTTAGAGGCTCCTGCCTGGCTCAGTTGGTGGAGCATGCTACTCTTGATCTTGGGGTCATGAGTTCAAGCCCCACGATGGGCGTAGAGCTTACTTAAAAAAAAAAATCTTCATTTAAACTTTTTTCCCCTCTAGGCCACAAATAAATGTAGTTTTACCAGCAAACAACGTTATTTCTTCCAGATTAAATATGATGATAAAAGAGATGTGTTTATATTTCACCGGACACAGCTGTTCTTATTGCCTTCTTATATCATAGAAAACTCTTTTCCCTCTTTGAAACCATTTTTATTTTAACTGTAATTTTGGGAGAAGATGCAACTGTCTTAACTATATTTGTGAGGTAACATCCACTGCTAGGTATAAATAAAAACATAAACTATAAAGAGTAGTTTATCATAATAAAGATTAGAAAATTTTCTATGGAAAACCAGAGAGGATACCTTGAGTTGCTGACCATAACCAGTGGAATTTGGAAACAAAAAGACTCACAAACTACTAACGTGTAAAAAGCCAAAAGTACATTAAGAGAGTGGGGCGCCTGGCTCATTCAATTAAAGCATGTGACTCTTGATCTCGGGGCTGTAAGGTCGAGCCCCAAGTTGAGTATAGAGATTACTTAAAAATAAAATCTTTGAGGGACACCTGGGTGGCTCAGTCGTTAAGCTTCTGCTTTCGGCTCAGGTCATGTTCCCAGAATCCTGGGATCGAGTCCCACATCAGGGAGTCCGCTTCTCCCTCTCCCTGCCGCTCTGCCTACTTGTGCTTTCTCTCTCTCTCTGACAAATAAATAAAATCTTAAAAAAATAAAAAATCTTTGACGGGTGCCTGGGAACTCAGTCGGTTAAACATCTGACTTTTGATTTCGGCTCAGGTCATGATCTCAGGTTGTGAAACTGAGCCCTGCATCGGGCTACACGCTCAGTGCGGAGGCTGCTTAAGATTCTCTCTCTCCCTCTCCCCCAACCACCCCCTTCTCTCTCTCTGAAAAAAGAAAAAAAAGAGTATATTAAAAGATTTGAAGGTATGGTGCAGAGGGGGAAAAAAGTAAACTCTGTACAATTTTATATTAGTGGTTTTGTATTAAACTATTGAAAGAATGAAACCAGAAGCATTTTATGTGGGAGGGAAGAAAGTCAGTGTGAATGTTAAAGACCCAGATTAATAAAGAATTTTGCAAAAAGACTACAAAAAGAGTCATGATTGATTTGCTGAATCATCTTCAGATAAATAAGACAAAAGAAAAATCAATTACTTAGAGAAATTTAATGAAATGAAAAGTATGGGATACGAAGTCAATCCAAAGAATTAGTGCAAATTTTAAATGACCATATAAGATGCCTAAATCATAATTTGATACACAAGCAAATTAATGTGGATAAGAAAACCAACTGTGAACAGTGAATCAGGCCAAGATTTTTAAGAACACATAAAGATAATATTACTCTTTTGTGTTATTTTAGAATACTAGAAACAGCTATAAACTAAGCAGTCCTTTCTGGCACCTACACTCTAGAGCTGGATCTCATCAAGATCTAGGACTCTCCAAACCTGGGTGAAGGCAAGACACCGGTTCCTACAACTAGAGGCGACATATTGCTAGACTTGGGACTGAAATGAAAAAGGCAAATTTTCCTATTGTTTCTTTACAAGCTTACAAAAGAGAAGTGACTAATATAACTCTTTGGGCCCAACTGACACATAAAACATTTCCTTTCCCTAACAATATTTCTAAACAGATTTAGGCAGTACATCCTCCAAATCTCTGAGAAATTGAAATAAAATCTACAAATAATAGGAGAGAATACTTATCAAATAAGCTCAAAAAAATAGTTAAATATTGGGGATTGTTGGTTACAACTATTCCTCTAATTTTATTATCACTCTGTAACTCGAACTAAAAAGAAAAAACAAATGAAAACCAAAAATCCCAGAAGCTGCCTGGCTTGATAATTGGAACAGAGTCTGATAATGATCATACCTCCCCTTAACCAATACAGGAATCTCAATCACGTGTTATATTTTCACTAAAGGATAAAAAAAGTTATTCAACTCCATTAAAAAGCTTCTGTCATAGCCATTACTATTCTATGCCCATAAAAAAAAAAGTAGGCCTCTAGAAGACAACTTATTAACTTAAGCTGATAGTTATTTTTCTGAGAGTAATTTTTAAAAGATATACTAAAAGGAAAAAATGGGAAAATTATTAGATAGTATTTCCTTAATGAGTGAATAAATGATTAATACATTCCCTTACTGAAATCTCAATCTAGCTAATTTGGAGACTTGATAAATACAAGAAACATTAGCTACTTAGCTATGAATTTCTCTTTCATGAATTCCTCCATCTTCCTTTTGTCTAGTTTTACAAGACTCTTCCTCTCTTCTGATGAAGACAATCATTATAGATCAGCATGGCCATCTTCTAAATAATGCTTTTACATTAAGTGATGGGCATTAAGAAGGGCACTTGATGTAATGAGCACTGGGTGTTACATGCAACTGAAAAATAACTAAATTCTACCTCTGAAATTAATACTACACTTATCTGTGAACTAACTTGAATTTAAATAAAATCTTGAAAATAAATAAATACATAAAGCTTTCAAATTATTAGGCTTCTTAAAACAAAAAACTGTTAACAAAATCAAATTTCTCATATAACCCTGAGAATCGTTCCTTCCCTAAATAACACTGCAAAACATAGCTATTAAAATATTAACTGATGACTTAATAATCTATATGCAGTATTTTATTACAATTACTCTAGTCTTATAAGCCAAGACAACAGACTCTTAGTATAGTTTACCAAGCTTAGTAGTACAGAATTTATTAACTTATCTCATAGTATGGAGAGGTGTCCTAGAGTGAGAAGTTAACTCTGTCTCTAGGTAGAACAATTTCAAGGTATCTTTTACTTATTCAATTTTCTGTCTCTTTCTACCATAATATAAACTCTGTGAGGACACGATTTTTGTGTTTTTGTAGTTCCAATGTTCAGAATGGTGCCTAGCACACAGAAAGTGTTTAAGAATGTTTGCTGAATGAATTATGATCACCATTATCTCAACATATGATTTTAGCATTCATTACAATATAAAAATTAAAACAAATGTAAAGGATTTACTAGACTCAGTCACCTTTTTATAGACCTCCAAATATGAAGTCCCCCAAAATTATCTGCCAGTAGCTCTGAAGACCTAGAAAAAGTTGAGACACAGATTAGTACAGAAAGAAATAACAGTGATGGACACGAAGAATAGAATTATACAGAATATTTTCTTTTTGGGGGGAAAGACAGAGGAAGAGTGAGCAAACATGCGTGTGCATGAATGGGGGTAGAAGGGGCAGGGGTGGGGCAGAGGGAGAGAGACAATCTTAAACAGGCTCCATGCTCAACATGGAGCCCAATGCGATGTGGGGTTCAATCTCATGACCCTGAGATCATGACCTGAATCGAAATCAAGAGCTGAATGCTTAATGCCACCCAGGCACCCTGAATTACACAGAATTTTTTACACAGTAATTTATTTCATTTCTACACATTGCCTTGTTAATCATCCTATGTTTCATTTAGTACTTTACTTCTGTCCTTTAACCATGTACCCTATTTTCCTATAAAGCCAGAACCTAAATAAAGAATGGAAAAGGAAATTATTTTTATTAGACTTAAGAAGTGGAAAATATTATGTCACTGGGTAATACTCTTTTCTTCAAATGAGAATTCTCTCCCATTTCCCAAGGGACTTATCTCTCCTAGGAAGTGCTTCTCCACTGACCCACTCCCAAATGCAGATGCTTTTCTTTAACCAAATATCAAGTTTACTCTCCAGTCAGACAAGGACCTACCATCACCTATTAAAGTATAAAATCATATTACTTCTCCCCTCCTCCCACATTCATGCCACTTATCCTCTTGTTCTACTTTAAAAAAAAAAGACAAATGGGAGTCAATTCTACTTGTGGTCAACTCCATGATGGAATATGTGGAAAAATAGAGCCTTAATAAACTATCTACCCTCCAAATAGCATAGGAAAATAGGCGATTTTGAGGGGGGAAAAGTCAAATTTAACATTAGCCAGAAGAGGGAATTAATAACTAAATGTAAATATATTATATATGTGAAAAGAGCTGTTTTTGGGATTCTATTTACCAAGCAATAGAGAGGAAATGTACTTTTAGGATTCTATTTACCAAGCAATAGAGAGGAAATGTACTTTTATGTCAATATTTTGTGGATTTCTAAATTTATAAAAAATTGGAAAATAAACTTTTTTTAAAAAGATTTTATTTATTTGAGAGAGCAAGAGCACAAGCGGATGGAGGGGCAGAGGGAGAGAGGGAGAAGCAGACAACCCACTGAGCATGGAGCCCGATGTGGGGCTCAACCCCAGGACCCTGAGATCTAACTTGAGCCGAAGTCAGACACTTAACCGACTGAGCTACCGAAGCACCCCTAAACTATTCTTTAGAAACAATTTTAAAAGAGCATACGGAATTATTATAAAAATAAAAGGTATGAAGGTAACAATAAAAGGAAGAAAAAAACAAACCAAGGAAGAAGCAGACTCCCTTAGCAACAACAAATAAGAAAGAAGGTAAGAAATGACAGGAGGAAAAAGAGAACTAAATATATGAATGTTCAGTAGGGGGAAAATGAATACACCAGAATTTCAATTTAATATCAATTCAATTCGTATCAATTTGTTTTTCCAGAACTATTCATCAGAATCCACAGAACACTAGTAAGTTCTTGGGATTCAGAAGCAGAACCAGCCAGTCTCCCAGTACTGAGTACTCTTTTGAGAAGTCACCATTTACACACACACAGTTTCTGGAGAAAAGGCTGTTAAACAGAACATGACAAAAATGTTTTATAATTACCCATCTTTTTAAATTGGGTTCAGAAATGGTCAATAGTTTCTGTATGTGTCATTCTGACAGTCTCTTCTCTATATGACTTGCTGAAAGCACAAGACCCGTGTGACCTATTTGGTCACTCTCAGAGCAGACAGACAAAAAGGGTTTTAAGAACAATTCCAACACAGATTTCAGAAAAAGAAATTGCATCAGCCAGGTGAGCCGGAAGCAGCTGGGAGACAAGAGTCCAATAAACAGCCAATCCAATGAAAGAAATTCAGAACAAGTCTGCTTCAGTAATCCTGTGAAGAGGACTGGCAGGAAGAGGAGTGCCGCTTTAGAAAGAGAACAGGCCTCATATGCTTCAGACAGTCTTTGTACTGAGGCTGTGGACCTTGGCCATTCTCCCAGAAATGATGCAATCCTGATGAACAAGATCTGCTGCCAGAGAAACAATTGTTAACAGCCTATGCAGACAGCAACTCAGCCAAGGAGCAATCTCTGATCAACTCTCTTCACAAACCCCCAGAAAGCCAAATCTCTTCCTCAATTTTAGCTTCTGACAAAACATGTAAGTGAATACACATTTAAATACATACGAACAAGCCATCTTCCCAAAATGTCCCTTTTCTTTTAATTGTTTGGTTTTTCAATATCAATCATCCATAACTAAATTTGAAATAAAACAGAGAACATTTCCACTTTTATGAATATAGTCCTCCAAGCATATTAACAACAAGGTATTAAAAGCAAGGTATTAACAAGGTTGAAAATTTACACTTATTTTCCTCACTCTCATTAGAAAACATTTTGAAAAGTAGTAGTGGCTTCCCTATGTACGAAAATCACTCTGGAATCTAGGTCCCAATTATGAGATTTCAAAGGACAAACATGCACATTCACTAGTTCGGGGCCAGGAAAGTATATTTTATAGTTATTTTTGAAGTTATGTGACTCAATATGTTAAAGATCGGCAAGTATTAGAGAAAGAAAATCTCTTCTTGTTTAGGTGGACATAAACAGTAGGTCGAATAATACAACAGTCTGCAAAGGAACAATATTACTTCAGATCTTTTAAGAGGGTTAATGATTATTTTCATCATATTAGCAACAACTTACTGTTTTGGAATCTAAATTAAAAATATCCTCAATTTAAAAATCCTCCCTAGATTCCTCATCTCCTAGGTCTGGTTTTAGTATTAAATTGTATATACAATACTGCTATAAAATTATTAGGATTTTACCTCCTCATTTACTAAATAAAAGACCCTGGGGGCGCCTGGGTGGCTCAGTTGGTTAAGCGACTGCATTCAGCTCAGGTCATGATCCTGGAGTCCCAGGAGCGAGTCCCACGTCGGGCTCCCTGCTCAGCAGGGAGTCTGCTTCTCCCTCTGACCCTCCCCCCTCTCATGTGTTCTCTCTCTCTCATTCTCTCAAATAAATAAAATCTTAAAAATAAATAAATAAGTAAAAATAAAAGACCCTGCATACAACAACTCTTAGTTCTCTAAATTCCAACTAGCCATAAGCTATAATCAACCAAATTTCTTCCTTTCAAAAGCAGTAACTCTTAAACTGTGATTCACTAAAAACACAAGCATCTAAGATGTCTCCTGAAATCAATATATTCAGCCCAATCTATTATCCCTATTTTTAAACTATTAAATAATGAAAATGAACAGATGGACAGAATAACTCTAAAGTAATAAAAGATCTACAGTAGGCTCGTAAGTGAATAAATTTAAGTCAGTTAAGAGGAAAAAAATTTTAGAAAAGTTTTCAAAAAGGGTTAATATAAAATAGCCATTAATTAAGATTCAATTTCTGAACCTACTGATCATTCAAAATTTTATTATACATCTAAGTTGAATTTATTCTTAAATATTTAAGAAAAAGATTTATTTACTTGAGAGAGAGTGCACGCACTCATGAGAGCAGTGCGGAGAGCACAGGGAGAGGGGGAGAGGGAATCTCAAGCAGACTCCCCGATGAACACAAAGCTAACTTGGGGCTTGATTTCACAACCCCTGAGATCATGACCTGAGCCAAAACCAAGAGACGCTCAAGTGAATGAGCCACCCAGGCGCCCCTATTCTTAAATACTTCTATACTGGGGCGCCTGGGTGGCTCAGGTCATAGATCTCAGGGTCCTGGGACCAAGCCCCGCATGGGGCTCCCTGCTCTGCGGGAAGTCTGCTTCTCCCTCTCCCACTCCTCCTGCTTGTGTTCCCTCTCTCTGTCAAATGAATAAATAAAATCTTAAAAAAAAAATACTTCTATACTTCCATTTCTTTTGAACACCTTTACAAATGAGTAAAAAGGAGAGACAGGGAAAGACTATTAGAAAGTTTTTTAAACATGATTATTACTCTCAATTTTTAAATCACAGAACAGTTCAAAATGCAATAAATAAATGATTGCATCTTATCTACAAGACCAACTTGTCTAAAAACTAATGTGGCAGCTGCCATTTATATTCTTATCTTTCATCTTCAACCCAAACTGAAGTATCAAGGAAAAACACTGCCACTGCACTGTAACATATCACTTTTGGCCTTGAGAAAAGAAAAAGTATATTAGGAAAAAGTACTATATTAAGAGGTAGGAAATCTGCGTTCTAGCCTACAACTTAAATATTTGGTGATCTTTTTATATACAATCTTTAATTCCTCAAAGTAAAATCTCAATGGCCTTCAAGCTGCTCCAGATATCTATGAATCCTGGCATTGGCTTAGGCAATTCATGCAATGTCTCAAAGTCTCAGTTTTCTCATCTGTACAATAGAAAGAATTACCTGTTCTGCTCACTCACAGGTGCATATGAACTAGTGTTTGTAGCAAATAGAGTTTAAATGATTCTCTGCAACCTTTAAATGTATGTGAAGAGGAGCTGCTACCTAATAACCTGAATGTGGCCAACGGTTATTTTTACTATTCTTCCAACAGTGTGTATTTCAATTTTGCTACTGTAACTAAGGTGAGAAGAGGATATGCCAAGAAACATGAAAAAACAAACAGTGTAGCAGAGGTAAGTGATAAGCATTAGAAGAATTACTGGAAAACAGGAAATGAACTCTAAGAAAAGAGTTAAGTGTTCAGAGATCTGGTGAAAAGTTCATGTAATTGGATGGTATAAACTCTAAGTTAGGCTTATAATCTGAAGCAAGTTAATGTAGGCAAAGAATCTAAAAGTGGTTCAGGGCTGAAGATAAAGAAGAAAAGAGAAAAACTGGAAGTAAACAATGGACACTAAAGAAATTCAGACTAAGGTAATTTAGAGTCAAGATAAAGTTTTCTTTTTCTCTCACCTCTTCTCCTTCAACACTTGTTTATCCCTTGG